AGGTCTTGACCTCAGGCTTGTTAAAGGCAGCTATAACTAGAAAAGCCAGAGTTGTTGTAATGTAAACCACCTTAAATACAGATTTCTTTGCTAACAAGCAGAAGCAAAATTCAGTGTCTGTATATTATTGTTTCTCTCTGCCCCCACCTCCTGTTTTCTTTGTGTGCTGGTGTTTTTTTCACTTGCTGGAATGTGGGCAGATATGGGATAATAGTCAGACTTTCAAATTAATTCTTCTTGCGACTTTAACCACGTGTTCGTTGTTTTACCCATGAGCCTGTTGTCTTGTCTTGGTTGCATAAGCGGGAGTGGGCAAGCAGGATGCCCCTTGCTGATTAGGAGACAAGGTGGCGGATCTCTCTTTTCCTCTCCCCCTCGTTTCTCACTCGTCTTTCTCCTGCGTCTTGTTCTTTTTTGCTCCATTTGACACTTACTCCAACCGAAAGTGTCAAAGCTCCACTGGTCCCTTGATGTTGCACGTTGAATTCCCCTCCCTTCCTCCAAATAAAGCTCTATGGTTAGTGGGCCCTGCTGCCCAGCTTCAGCTAAATTAAACCTCCTGTTGCAACAGTGATTTATAGTCCAATTGGAAATGTTAGTTCACAGGGTGCTCACACACCAGCAGCTGCTAACGCACCGACACAAAACGCCTTTGAGCAGCATTTGTGTGTGCCGTCACCGAAACCTTGAAGTCTACAATGATGGCTCTTTGTTAAATCTACCCATATTGCATGAATTGGTCATCCATAGTCCTATATGAGCATAAAAATAGCAGATTAAGTTAATATGACATTGGCTCTGAAGACAGGGCACTTATATTGTTATTGACTCCAGTTTATTGTCTAACAGTATTAAGCTAATGTTTGAATATGGTGCCTTTTACTTTGCAACCACATTCATTAATATATCTTATTTGAAGTAACATAATAGACCAACAAAAAGTAGATATGTGTCGTGCAGGGAAAAAAAACTATTCATGTTTTCCTAGAGTAGATTACAAAAAGGATTGTGTAATGCATTCTCTTTATTACTTTATTGGAACTTCCTTTCAGGGTAATTAAAGCAATTAGTCTTATTGTGGTATGTCTTTACCAGGTTTTAACATCTAGAGATGTGCAAGCCTGTTGTTTCACCAAAGGGGAACGTCTGACAAAGTTCAGGGTTAACAGTTTTTCCCCTGTATTTAACAGCATTAACCTTGTTCTTTTACCCTTTTACTCTCAGTTTACCCTGCAGCCGGAGGGTTATTGGTTCAAACCCCGGCTCTGGCTTTTAATGTCGTTGAGTCCATGAGGAAGGCAGTTCACCTGCATTGCCTATTGATGGTGTAAGAGGGCCCAATGGTGTTTGTGTTGAGGAGCCTTATGCACAGGCAATTTTCCTAAGACAGTCAACTTCATTGTCTATTATATCTGTCCGTGAGCGGCTGCAATGCAGCTTGCCACCATCAGGGTGACTGTGTGCATCAATGAGTACCTGACTGAATGTGGTGTAAAGAGCTTTGGTGAAGTGTCCTTACTTGAAAAAGCATTATATAAGTACAGGCCATGTACCATTTAATCAGCTTTGATCAGATCCCAGATGCCTCCCTAAACATATTTTACCATAGCGGGTAAGATATCTTCAGTATGTGCAATTGCTGTTTTCTAATATATTCAGATACTGTAATGGGGTTATCTAACCAAACCACCGTCTTCCATTTTTGTTGTCCTGTATACGGCAAAACAGAAAGCAGCACTCATTAAAAAGACTTTTATCAAAGATCCTTTCTTTGGGCCACTCTTTGTGGAATGCACAGCTAATAGTTGTTCTGTCAACAGATTGTCCCACCTGAGCTATGGATCTTTGCAGCTCCTCAAAAGTTACCATCTATTGACTCATTTTCTGTTTCATGCCCTCCTTTCTCATCCATGGATTTAAACGGATTATATTTGTCCAGTTGGTGTTTGTCCAACAGCTGAAATTATAATGAGCACAAGTGGATTCAGTTTACTATTGAGAGACTATTTAAAACAACATAAGGACAGATTTCTTGTGCTACACAAAAAAATCAAGTGAAAATAAGTACACTTCATATTTTTAAGATTCTGACATGTAAAGGTTTGGAATCTGTTCACACTTCACAAATATGCAATAGCTAGTATTGGTCTATTGGTCTATTGCATAGCATCCCAATAACGGAAGTTTATGATTCTAGTATAACAATGCATTATGGACAGACAAGTAATCACATTTGCAATACAATCTAAATTTTACCAAGACACATTTTCAAAATCCCAGAGTGCCTCAACTATTGGTCTTGTTACATATCAAAAGAGGAAGGCACTTCATTTCTTTCACTTCAAGTCTTACAGTTGGTTTACAACCACTCAGAAGAGAGTAGTTATACTGTAGCCACCACATAGATTCATGCATACAAGCAGTAGTAAACCACTAAAGTCCTCAGATAATAGGCTCTGTACATTAAAGAATTCAAAGCCATGACAGTGAGAAGGCAAACATGTATGTTCTTGTAGTGAATACAGAAGAAAATTGAAATTGCAGTTCTACAAAAAGTTGCATTTTTCATTTTTGGCCAAATGACACTGCCCTGATTATGTAAACGTTAAAGAGGTATAAATGCATTTCTAATGCATGTTACCTGTAGGAAGAAGAGGGGAAATAACCTTAAAATGTGTTTTCTGTGTAATTAGTATTTTTCACTTATTTAGCAAGCCAAGGAAAGAGCAGAGTGGGCAGCCCCTGTGTGAAGGAGCTGTCTTAATCCATGTGTTTAGCAAGCACCATCTGTTCCTTTTATTCAGATGGGAGTAGAAATATTTGGTTGATTAGGAGAGGATCTGTGAAGGATAGCCGCGCGGTTACCAATGGTTACAAAGGACACACATGTTCGATTCTGTCAACTGGTGTCTTGGAGAGCAGACAGGGGACAGACACCACATATACAAGTGTTCAAAACAATGAAAGGCTGGAGGAAGATTTAAGAAGTTACACAGCAATGCAATGATAAGATGCTACAGTATCCAAAGCAGGCTGTAACACTCATCACTAGCCGTATTTAAACGGCCAGGTATTGAAGATTTTCCAATGTACCCTGAGAAAAGAAAAAAAAAAAAAAAACAAGCTAGACACTTTTTAAATTTTTAAAAAGTGGGAATGTTATAATATATGAAAACATTTTGGCCACATCCTTCCATTATGCTAAAATACCCAATTGTGACTCAGTATCAGAGTTTAATTAGTTTGATTAAGGGCCAGAATTTCCAATTTTCAATCAATTAATTAATTAGAAACATTTTAATGTTTTAAAAAACAAATGCAAATAATAATATTTTCTATTATGTGTA